GGGAGGTTCTGTGACCTTAGGGAGTAGGACCTACCTGGAGGAAACATCTCTGGGAAACCTGCGTCTTGTCCCATGTGGCTTCTGTTCCTTTCTAGACTCGTCCTGCCTTCCACAAGCAGAGTGGCCTCTGCCATATGCTCCTGCCATCAGGATACTCTACATCACCCATGTTCCAAGAATCAACAAGCTAAGATCTGTGGACTAACTAGCCTTTGAGCCTGAATGAGTCTTCCCCCGCCCCTGTGAGGTTGATTCCGTCATGCTTCGTCATAATGATGTAAAAGCCAACGGCCACACCACCACAGGTACTCCTCACTGTCAGCACACCACTTTCTACCATACTCCAGCAGTTTTCACTTGGGCTCCCTGCTCTCTAGGCATGCTTTAGAGATTCCATAAATACATGGAAATGTATGCAGACATTGTGTATATGTGTGTATTTGTGTGTGTGTGTGTGTGTGTGTGTATACAATCGACCAGCTTTCATAAGATTCCCCCTTTTCTCCATATCCATCTCTACATCCAAGCCTGCTCCTCCCTGTCTCTTGCTTACCAGTTTTTCTTTCCTTTACCATTCTCCCCCTTCTTTTCTTTACCTCTTCCCTTGCCCTTTCCCAGAATGCCATCTTCCCTCCTTGTCCTTGGACTGTGATGATGAGGCTCTATGATTTCTTCCCTTTGAGTCTCCTTCCTTCTCATGCCCCACCTACTCCTTGAATCCCTCTCCTCCTCCTCCCAGACTCTGGCTTGTGTTTAGTCAATCTTTAACCTCCACCTCTAGCAAGAACCCAGTTCATCTAGGCAATCTCTGATTAGCGGTAGGGACAGTGAAAACCACCCATCAAACAGCCTGGTGGCTTCCTTATTGTTCGTTTCCTAAAAGGCAATCTGGCTGCTGCTAAGCTTTGGGGACCTGGGAACTGGTCACAGCTTCTCTTGGCAGCAGAAGGAAGGAGGCTACTGCACCAGTTCTGTGCGCTCTCACTGCTCTGCTGCATCCAGACCTTTGCTCACAGCAGGAGCACTGACCTACAAAAACAAAACCCTAACCCTCTCCCACCCAGAGCAGAGATGGGCTCTAACTCTAAAGTCCCCAGGAGCTGCTGGGGCATTACCTACACCTCTACTTTACAATGCTCGAATAGACAAAGTACAACAGACACTATCTCTTCTCCTGGGGAACAGGGGCTAGAAAGTGACTTCAGGTTGTTGTTTCAAATGATTGTGCTGCTTCCAGGCTACAGACATGTCCAGGATTGCCCTATGCCACCATGTCCTGGGAGAATCTCAGTCCAAACCAGAAGAAACAGAAAGGAAAAGAGGCAAGGTTAGCTCACATGTGCTCAGATCATTTCAGCCAACATTTATTGAGTGCCCACTGGGTGCTGGGTCAATTGGCAGTGGTGGTGGTGGTGGTGGTGGTGTGTGCATTAAATACATTTGCTCTCTAGTGAGGGCAAGTAGCCAGGCTGTTCACATGTAAGACAGGGCAAGAAGAAACAAGAGAAGGATGAAATGTCTCAACCTTTATCAGAGAAACTTCTTCTTGCAGTAGATGGAAACCAACACAGAGACCCTTCAACGGGTCAACATCCCCAAAATAAAAGACTACAGAGTGCTCAGCCCTAAGCTGGGCCTTCATTTCACATTCCTCCTGCGAGGCTCGGGGATCTTCATGGAAGAGGAAATAGAAAGACTGTAAGAACCAGAGGTAGGGCTGAAGAGGTGGCTCAGTGTTTAAGAGCCTTATTCTTTCAGAGGACCTGGGTCCAAAATCCAGCACCCATATGGGGGCTAATAGGCATCTAGTTCCAGAGTGTCCAGCCCCATCTTCTGGCCTCTGGAGGTACTGCATGCATGTGTAGGCAAAACACCCATACACACATAAAATAAAAATACATCTTAGAAAGAAAACAAAACAAAAATGGCCAACAGATCTTCTTATAAAAGAGCCATAGGTGGTCTACAACATCAAATGGTGTGTGGTAGTTTGAATGTAATTGGCCACCAAAATCCCATAATCTCATAGGGAGTGGCACTATTAGGAGGTGTGGCCTTGTGGAGTAGGTATGGCCTGTTGGAAGAAGTGTGTCATTGTACGGGCAGGCTTTGAGGTTTCATATATTCAGGATACTGCCCAGTGAGTCAGTCAACTTCCTGTTGCCTGTAAGATGTAGGACACTTGGCTGTTTCTCCCGCACCATGCCTGCTTGCATGCTGCCTTGCTCCCTGCCATGAATGACCGAACCTCTGAAACTCTAAGTGGCCACCCACACTTAAGTATTTTCTTTATAAGAGATGCGGAGGTCATGGTGTCTCCTCACAGCAGTAGTAAACCCTAACTAAGACACGGAGTTTTTCATATACAACAGGAAAGATGTGCAGATGAACTCACAGCAATTGTGAACTTGCTAGTATAGAAGAGGGAAGGCACAGACAAAAGCCCTGGCACTAGCGGAGGGGCTAAGGCTGTCTGAAAGTTGCTGGAGAGGGAGAATCAACTCCCTTTGAGGATATGTGTCCTCCTTGTTGGATGAGCACACAAAAGGTGGGCCCAAGAATAGCCAGACAACGCAAACTGGACATGATGGGAAAGAAACAAGAAAGAAGAAACCTCAAAGATGGGAGAAGCTTGGAGAGGGAGGTAAATATATTCAAAATTCATTATATGAAGTTCTAATAATAATTAATAATAATAATAATATTACAAAAAGACCATAAAGGAAGTATAACTCTCAGGAGCTGGGAGAAGAGCTTTCAATAGACTCCAAGTTAAAGCTCCCGCCAATGATAGACTCCTGTCTCAGCATGGTTACTGCAACTCCTGGGTTTTCATGATTTTCCCACACAAATACCCATCAACTAGGAAACCCATGTGCTCTCTTAGCTCAGTTCCCATGGTAGGGAGTTTAGTGGGCTGAGAGCAGCCTGTGACTGGACTCACTGATTCAGGCTTTGGCCAGGTCAACCATGGCCTAGAACAGGCTGGCTAGGTTGGTTTTTTTTTCTGTGTCTGTGGCATAATTCCCAGACAAAAACAGCTTAAGGGAGAAAGGCTTTATTTGGGCTATGGTTCCAGAGGTACGGAGTCCAGTGTGGGAGGGAAAACATGGCAGTGGGCACAGGAAACAGGCTGATCACGTCGTCTCACACAGAGAAAACAGAAAGAGAAACAAGTGTTGTCAGACGATAGAACCTCGAAGCCTGGCCCCAATAGCATACTTCCCCCAGGGAGGCTCCAGCCCTCGTGTCTTCTGTAACCTTCCCAAACACCACCACCAGCTAAGGCTCAAGTGTCCAAATATGTGAGCTTATGTGGGGTATTTCATAAATTCAAACTACAATACCGGCTGCCCCAAACATGGTATTGGTATGAGTCTGGCTGGCTAGGCAGGGGCAGACATCCATGTCAAGAAACTTTGCATGGGATCTAGATTGTTCATGGAGCCCAGTTAGGCAGCTGAAGGACAAAATGAGAAAATAAAGCCAGTGGGAGGAAGGAATGGCTTTTGTCTATTCTCCATTCTTCTGTGGTTCTTCATGTTCCTTGTTAGGAAGGGTGTGGGAGAGGGGCAGGGAAGGCTTTGTACATTGTTGTGGGTAACTTGATCCTAATGAGGGATAATAATGAAGGGGGGAAGTCTACATGTGTTGGCTCACTTGACGTTACAACAAAGATGCAAAGGGCCCTTGATGGATATGAAATATTTAGGACCTAGGTTTGCTGAATCTTCGAAAACAAAACCACAAAGCCAACATTCCTCCTTCTGATCACCTGGTCTCTGGAAAGCCTCGTCCTGTGGCCCATTGGGATTTTCTGAGCCTGAAGAAAAACTTTTGCAGCTACAAGTATTCAGGTTGCATCCTGATTTTTCTTGGCTGGAAAATACCATGGCCTTCTGCCCCTCATGACCTGCCACCTGATCCTCAGAAACCTCTACAGGCTAAAACCAAGAGACACTTGGAATAGAGCTACAAGCCCATAGAAGCCATACTCCAGGCTCAGTCACCGCTGCGGTCCCCGCTCCATACCTACATAAGCGGTCCCTATCCTGAGCCCCCTCAGACACCGCAGAGAGAAAGCCTGAACTAGTCATCAGCAGAGCAATGGCCTTGTGTATTCTCCTCCCTCCCCAAACCCACAACCACACTGCCTTTGTTCTTTCTCCAACAGCCGGGTCCTCTATCTCAGAAAAAAAACAACAAACAATAACAACAACAACAAATATCTGTTACTTGCCACTCTGGGTGGCACCACGCCTTAATTTCCAGCTGTCAGAATGTTTCATTTTTAATATGAATAAGCCTATGTCTCTTTTTATGGAAGGAGTTGGGCTCAAGTCTTGGAAACTCTCTTCCCCCTCCACCTCATCTTCTTTTTTCTTCCTCATCTTCTTCACAGCACCCGGTGTCTGTTCCTGTCCCCGGCCCTTCAGAACAGCAGGTCAGTGTCACAGAAGTGAAGTGTAGGAGGCGGTAACCCTGTCCAAATCCCACTCTGCTTTAAACACGAGCTGAGACTTTCCCTCCCGGGCCTGAACCTAACACTGTTCTCTGCTTTGTTATGTCTTAGAGTCCAGGAATCAAGACTCCAGCTAATGAATGAAGAACAGAGCTGAAGAATCAGGAGATGAACAGCTACCCATGAACAGATATTTGGCTATAGTTCCCTTGGTTGAACATACTCCCAAGTTCCCAGCCTTCTTAGCGTGTGTCCATCCTGGCCACTACCTCAGAACAAAGATGGTCTCAATAACGAGCTGTCACCCCTAATACATCCTCTTCTAGCATCTACCTCTCCTGGTTGTTTAGTTTTTAAAGTCACTGTTACTGGGCATTGAAAGACTCTTAAATGAACTACAGGGAAAGAGACAACTACTTTTCCAAGGTAAGATATTGGGTGGTCCATATGGGACCACACAGGACTGTGGTCCACTTCTGCTGCTGTCACAAAATATCAAACACTGGGTAAGCTATTAAGAGTTGATAGTGACTTTGCCCCATCTAATGCAAGAATGAAGACCATTCTCAGCAATCAGACTGTCGACATTCCAGAAAACGTGGACATCACTCTGAAGGAGCGCACAGTCATTGTGAAGGGCCCCAGAGGAACCCTCTGGAGGGACTTCAATCACATCAATGTAGAGCTGAGTCTCCTTAGGAAGAAGAGGCGGCTCAGGGCTGACAAATGGTGGGGTAACAGAAAGGAACTGGCCACTGTCCCAACCACCTGCAGTCACGTTCAGAACATGATCAAGGGTGTTACACTGGGCTTCCGCTACAAGATGAGGTCTGTGTATACTCACTTCCCCAACAATGTTGTTATTCGGGAGAATGGGGCTTTGGTTGAAACTCGAAATTTCTTGGGTGAAAATTATATCCGCAGGGTTCGGGTGAGGACAGGTGTTGCTTGTTCTGTCTGTCGAGGCCAGAAGGATGTATTAATCCTTGAAGGAAATGATATTGAACTTGTTTCAAATTCAGCAGCTCTGATTCAGCAAGCGACAGCAGCTAAAAACAAGGATATCAGACAGTTTTTTAATGGTATCTGTGTGTCTGAAAAGGGAACAGTGCAGCAGGCTGATGAGTGAGACCTGAGTTACCCAGCTCCAGAAACAAGATCCTGAATTTAAGTCCAGTCTGGGGTGTCTTTTGGAACAATAAAAGACATATTGAAAAAAAGCAGATATTGAGATCCTCATAATTCTAGAGTTTAAGAAATCTAAGATGGAGACCCTAGCACCCAATGAGGATCTTCTTTCCACCTCATTCCATGATAGAAGACAAAAAGACAAGAGACTAAGAGGGAAACAAACTCTTTTATGATGGCAGTGATCTCATCAATTGGAAAAAAGCCCACATGGCTCAATTGCTTCCTTACCATTCTACCCCTCACCCCATTATAGTGCACCTAAATTGTAACATGAGTTTCGAAAAGGACAAACATTCATACTATAACAACTATAGAGGAAGGCTGAAGGTATGAGATTGAACTGCAATAAATGGAACTTGCCTATAGGGAGCAATGGAAAGGAGGGGTTGCCAAGATGTAAGGGACTAGTAATCTGGTGTCTTGTTTTTAAACAGTGATTTTGATGTTGTTTTTAATAATGAGGATGTGGCTATCAATAATCAAGGACGGTATAACAATTCTATCCTAGATAAGGTAACAAGGCAGACTGCCACAATCTCATGGGTGGCAGCAGAAGACACAAGACTCCTGGATGCTAACACAGGAATCCCTTGTTCACCACGATAAGCAGCAGTAACAATGTCAGCATTTGCACTTGGTCCCCAAGAGTCTCATTTCCATAATAAAATATACAGGGGTTTTGATGATTCCTGTACATCTGAGCAGCAGAAGAAAATTGCCTATGTATGAAGAACTTGACCTCTTATAATGGGCTGTTCTAGGTCTACTTTAATAGCACCACCACATAGCATGTTTGATAACTTATTATAATCTATACTTTTAATAATATTACTTTAAAATACAATACAGCATCCTAACATGTTGACAAATTTTATTAAAGTGAGGCTCTAGATTATCTGCCCAACAAAAAATACTTTCAAGATGTGTTATGGGATATTTGATTGCACAGTGAAACCCCAAGCCTGTGTTAATAAAATCAACCTTGGATCAGGGGGCAGAGCCAGCAACTAGTTGACAGAGAGATGCACAGGAAGGAGTAGGGAGGGACTTGGAGATTCGTAGTCTTTATTGATTTAGGACAAAAAGGAAGCTTTCTCGGCCCCTCTGAGCTAGCAGGTTTTCACCCCAACATGTCTCCCAAGTCTTTATTGGTACATAGAACGACAGAGACTTAGTTAAAAACTACATCTGATGGCAGCAGCAGGGCTGGTGCTGGCAGGCTGGGAAGTTCCACAAGGCCAAGGTGCAGTGCTGACCACAGGGTTAGGGGGACACAGATGGCAGTTAAAACACCAGCAGATCAGGTACAGCCACAGTGCTGGAGATAAAACAAGAGTGTTGATATATCTGTAGTCTTCAGAGTCAGTAGCGCCTTCTTCAGGAATTGCACAGGACAGTTCATTTTACTTGTAGTAAGAAGGGTACATTAGTTTATCTTTTCACTTCAATATAATTCATTTTTTAATATATCTATTACATATATTTTATGTTATATTACCATGATGCTACAAGTAAATATATATAAAGGATATGTAGATATATTAGAGTGCGTGCTCTGTTTTGCTTAGTTATTTTTTGCAAATACAAGTATATTTTTTAGTGTTGAAATAATGCTTTTGTAATTGTATGAATATGAATATATATATATATATATCCACACAATTAATAATCATTATTCACTTAAGGAGAATTACTCAGAAATAGAATTGCTGGATCAAATGGCATCTACTCCTTTTAAGCTCTTAAGTCATTGTTTTCAATATTACCCAATATTCCTCCAGAAAACCTGCAATAGTCTCCCCCTCGACACAGCAGAATTTGAGTGTACATGCTCATATCCATAGCCTGATAATTCTGCCTATAGTTAAGAGAGGATTTTTGCACCTTTAAAAGTTTTATTGATGAATAACATTATTTTGTTTTAATGAGAATATCTTCCATTACTTAAGGAGCAGAATGTTTTTCATATATATCTGATATTAAATTTCTTCTGAAACTGCCTGTTTATTTTCTTTGCCTTTTCTATTAGAATGATTCATCTTTTATTTAAAAATTAATTTTAAGAGCTCTTTGTATGGTTAGTATATTTAGTCTATGGTACAAATATTACAAAAGTGCTTTTTAATTCATCCTTTTCCTCTTTATTTGTTGATGATATTTTCATATATACAATACATAAATATTATAGAATTTATCAGACATTTTCTTCATGGTTGCTACTTTCTGAAACATATTAAAAAGTCAACATTTCATTTTCTGAGATCATAAATTCATATCAAATTTTCTTTTAAGACATCTACTTTACATTGAACTCTGATTCTATGGAATTATGATAAATTATGCAAGATAAACATGTTATCACATATTGCAATCATATGGACTTTTTTTTAATCCACTGGCCTGTTGTAAGCACAGTTAAAACCCCAATCCTCTTTTGTGATTTAATAACATGTTTCAATACAGGACATTAAACATCAAGAACAACATTAACACAACAATCAAAGTAAAGCCAAAAAAATTACTTTCCATAATAAATATTTTATATTCTAGGAATGTACAACTTTGAGAAGAAAGGATTCGATTCTAGTCAAAAGCAGGAATCCAAGCAGTAAGCTGGAATACGGAGTTGCTATCTTCAAGTTCAGGATCTGCTCAGTGGGCTGGAACAGATCTGGGCGGCTCTAGGGAAAAGGACTAAGGAAAGCGGATGGAAATTACTAGAGGAAAATTTTGACTCATCAAAGAACCTTACTAAAAAGTTGTTCAACAAGAGAACAGTCCGCTTGTGAAGAGAACGAGGAAGGAGTATGTCTTCGTTACTTTTCTCACTGCTCTGACCAGATACCGGACAAGGAGCAATTTAAGAAAGCAAGGCTTTGTTTGGGCTCACAGTTTAGGAAGGCATGGTGGCCATCATGACAGGAAGAGCATGGGTGCAGGAATGTGAGGTGCCTGGTCTCACTGCACCCACAGTGAGGAAGCAGACACAGGATGAGAAATGGGATCCAGCTCTCAGTCAGACCCAGCGACCTACTTCCTCCAGCAAGGCTCCAGTTCCTAAGGGTTCCACAGCAAAACAGAGCTACCAGCGGAGAGCTAAGTGTTTGTATATCCGAGCCTATAGGGGCCGTTTCTCATCCAAACCACAACAGAATAGGTTTTTCTTTTTTAAATAACTGGTCTTTGAAACGTGCAACATAGAAGACTCACAGAAAAAGAGGGATGGTGTTATTTGAAGGACATGTGTCTCTAAAATCTTGGCCTTCATCACATTATGATCTTAAAAATCAATATCATCATAACTGCATTCGCTTCCACACGCAGTCACAGAGGAATCAGCCCTGGGAGATTCCAAAGGCAATTGAGCCTAGACGTTGGTTCCTGGAACTATGGAAGCTGCAGTCCATTTTCCCTTTGACTATGAAACAGAGTTGGAGTGAGATGCAAGATACAAAGCCAATGAAAATCGAATCGGTCCCCACTCGGTCTTTGCTTTTGTTTAAACTTTCAAGGATGAATCAAGGTACCCTGGGGCATCTCCAGGTCTCACTTTTGTTGGGTTTCTGCAGACAGGACCGCACAGAGCTGAGGTGTGTTTTGCACCCTACTCCCCTCCGTATGGATATGGAGAAGAGAACTTTCTTTAATGCCCCAGTAAAATATTCTGAGATCCCTAGAGTTGTGCTATTCAAATGCAGTGGTTTTATCTATTATTTATCCCCTGGCTTTTGGAGAGGAACCCTTTCTGTCTTGCTAAGAAGAGAGGAACGGCTTTGAAGCAGTCCCCTTCGGGCAGTTTGCTTTTCGAATGAGCAGTCACCCAGAGCAGGGAGCGGAGGTGGTGTCCTCAGGGGCTGGGTTCCCTGTTATTTAGTTCACTTGGTGCTACTATAACGGAATACCTGAGATTAGGTAATGTATAAAGAACAAGGATTTGTTTCTTCTATTCTGGGGGCTGGTAAGTCCAAGTCGCTTCATTGCATGGGTGTCTGTGTTATCCCATGGTGGAAGGCAGAAGGATAGGGAGGCACTTGCACACTCCCACAAGCACCCCAAAGAAGCAGGGGGCGTGGGTGGCTAAATTCACCCTTTTCCCCCAGGAATCCACTTCACGACAAACAACCATGTCCCGTGACAATGATGTAATCCCTTCATGGAGGCATAGGCTTCATGATGTATTCACCTCTTAGCGGTCCTGCTTTCAGCCTGGATGTGCTGGGGACAACAGATCTAAACAGCGGCAGCTGTGTAAAGACCTCATAAGCAAGAACATTAGTTCAGCAAGTGTGTGGTCACTTGGGCACTCGAGCCGTGGTCCTCTGAAGATTTGCAGTTCTCATTTTGTTAAAAGCTTAGACAGACGATGGCAGCAGCAGAGTCCATCTTAATCATCGTAGACTCTCAGCTTTCTTTTATTATAGGGAAAAAATAAATAGTGTGGACACAAAACATGAGACAGAGAATGAACAGTACAAGATGCTACAGGCCTTATAAACATAAGACTGAGTGGAAAAACAAAAAGTGAGACACAGTGGAGTTCTGAGCTCCTTTATATGAAATTTTAAGGAGCGCTAACTAATTTATGCTTTTTGAAGATAATGTTTCTCTTTTGGGAGGGGTTGGTAGTAACGTCCAGAAGGGTCCTCTGGGGCTTCTAGGATGCCGGAAATACTCTGTCTTAAGCTAAGTGCTGGGTTCTCAGAGTGTACTCAATTTGTGAATTGAGTTATTGCACATTTATGATTTATGCATATATATGTATACATACTTAAAATCAAAGCAGGAGGAAGCTGATGCCTTGGCACTTAGCGTGGTAAGTGCCCCCATGTGTTTATGCCATTTAGTTCTCACACCTATGTGAAGTCAGTACGTCTTCATTTCTATTCCAGCAGAGGAGGTGGAAGTCCTGAGAGGTGATACCATAGGATAGAGTCACAT